AACAGGAAAGTCAAATCATAAGGGACTTATTAAAGTTAAATTGTTTATATTCCTACATGGAAAGATGATATTTGTAACTCATAAGACCTTTCTCATTATTCGGGTAGTTAGAAGGAGTATATATAGACAGAGGTCACAGGTGAGTTGAATATGAAGGGATGATATCTAAAAAATAAAATTAAGGGGTGAGAGAGGAATGTACTGGAAGAAAGAGAAAAGAAGAGGTAGAATGGGGTTAATTATCTCAACATAAAAGAGGCAAGAAAAAGCTTTTACAGTGGAGAGGAAGAGGGGGGATGTGAGAGGGGGTGAGAGAACCTTACTCTCACCAGAATTGGTTCAAAGAAGGAATAACATACTCATTCAATTGGGTATAGAAATCTATCTTACCCTGCAGGAAAGTAGGGGGAAGGGAATAAGAGAAGGGGGGTGATAGAAGGGAGGGCAGATTGGGGGAGGTGGCAGAAGAAAAACACTTTTGAAGAGGGACAGGGTGAAAGGAAAGAGAGAATAGAATAAATAAGGGGCAAGATAGGATGGAGGGAAATATAGTTAGTCTTTCACAAGTTTGAGGACCTAGAGGGCCACATGTGGCCTCAAGGCCACAGGTTCCCCATTCCTGGTAGCCCCTTCTCACCAAATACTGATTATAGAAAAGATCATCACAACATCCACAACTTCTAAGGTTCTAGTCTGCCATTAAAAAATTTGTACCATTTAAAATTCTCTCTTTCTTTCATTTTTAACCTTTTATTTATTTATTTATTTTTAAATTTTTGTTTAGTATTTTATTTTTCCCCAGTTACCGGTAAAAACAATTTTAACATTCATTTTTAAAACTTTGAATTCCAAATTCTTTCTCTTCCTCCCCCCCCATTGAGAAGGCAAGCAATTTGATATGTTATACATTTGTAGTCACACAAAACACTTCCATAATAGTGATGTTGTGAAAGACTAACTATATTTCCCTCCATCCTATCTTGCCCCTTATTTATTCTATTCTATTCTATTCTATATCTCTCCCTATAAACTAGGGATCATCCTCCCGCTTAAGAGCGATCAAGAAGACAGATTTCCTTCTGAACCTCTACAAATCCTACCCCTACAGGTACTTAGAGCCATCTGAGGTGTGGCAGATAGATAGAATCTAGTTTAATACCCTTCTTGGAGATAGGAGGGATTAGAAGCTGCCCATCTTTAGTGGTCCTGGGTCTTGCCTTATTTCTTCCCCTTGTTGCAGATAGGGTCTTCATCCTACTTTCCACAGAAGTGGGCCGGACCTCAGGTCATATATATCCATGCCACTCATGAGTTCATCTTTGTGTATATGTTTATATTTAGACAATACACACACACACACACACACACACACACACACACACACACAC